GGGGGGGGTGAGAGCGGAAAAGCGAGCCCAAATGTATGGCGATGCAGGACGACGACAGGTCGCTCTTTCGAAAAGTTTTTTTGGATCTTCGCTTAAAGCAGCCCTTGTAACTTTTAGACGACCAAGTACAGTGAACTTTGCTGTACAATTTTCAAAACTGGTAAATCGTGTCTTAAAAAATTATATCGTAATCACTGGTCGAATATTGTTCTTGGATATTTTTCATTCGTAAAAAATGTGCATTTTACCAAATTCGTGAATACTTTGTCTCATTAATAGTACGATTAGAGTAAGACCTACGTGACACCAATATTTCTCTTTTTGTAGAATATAGCAACATACAGAATACTTGCCCATAAAAAGAACCAAGCACACAATATATCGACACTGGTTCAGTGCGTGAGTTGCCTAATCCACAAAGATGTAAAATCACTTGTTCCAATGGACCATGACGTGAATATTTTACAGTTTATAAAAGTATAATTCTACGCACCACTTACAAAAGTGTCTACTCGTAAAACTTCGTACGGAACCGTTCTCTTTTGATAGTTACCTATTTCCCAATTCTTCACTTCGCCAATTAAAATTTTAAAAAACTGACATGTGTACGTAAAACTTGACGTGAAATTGTATACTGCTGAGCAGTGACAAGATCTTAAAGACGAAAATACCCGCGCTTTTATCGTAAAGCATCTCCTTCGCTAATATTACAACGTGCCGTCACTGGATAGCCCCACTCGAAATACCGGCGACCCCGCTCGTATTTGGGAGGCATCAAAGGGAGGAAGCAGACAAAATGAGCTCGGCGCGCACCGAGGCGTGGGTTTCTTTAGTCTTCTTTCCGCAATGGAGCCTCGTCCGCGCGGTGAGACACAGGGATTTCCGATGCGGAGTCGCCAAACCGGAAGTCGAGGAATTCGCTACGATCGGGAAGCGTATGTCTTTGCTTCTTTAAGATTCGTTCGCATAGGGTGAATTCCTTCAATGAAAGTTTCACCTTTTATATTTGGGATTAACACAATATGTTCTTAAATTGATTGTTGTAGTGATTCCGGGCACGTCAACTAACAGGGTCATTAGTCTCATAAGTGTAGTTCCCTTGCGGTATGGCGAGATACGGCGCCGACCTACCATTGGCTAGCAGGGTTTTCCCCAATCAGGTGTCTCCAGAGGGGCACCGCCTCAGCCGGGACAAGCTCTAAACTCCCGACCGGTCTCCCGACATGTGTGCTTGTGTAGGGCAAGTTAGTGTATGTGTGTGTAAGTAAGGGGTGAGGATAAGACAAGGAAAAGGAAAGTAAGGAAAGAAACGTCCGTCTCCCGTTTGTTAGGGTACTACTCCGGCATTGATCGAAGAAACCACGGCAAACAATAAGCGCAGCCGCCCGCTAGAATTCTCATCCGAGTAGGACCTGAATTCGACGTACCTGACAATATAGTGTCGAAAATCCTGCCACCGACGGGACTCTCGGTCAAAGGGACTGCATTGCCATCAATTGACGCCCTGGGCCATCTCGCGTGTAAACCATAAGACAAGGGCTTAGACAGACGCTGATAAGATCAGGTCGCAAGCCGACGGGAAATGGAAAGGCCCGGAACGCAGGCGCTCAACATTCCAAAAGCGTTTTGGACACGTCTCGGAATTTAGAAAACTACAGCAGCCAAGTCGTGTGTAGGAACAGCGTGGGGTCGCGGCGATCACGTGATGGTGGTTGCAACGCGAACGCGAGTATGACGTCGGGTGTCACGCGGGGCTGAGAGTAAAAAACAGCGCGAGTTGCTGAGGCGGGTCTTCAGCAGAGTGGGAGACCTCGTGTGGACGCACAAACCTTGCGCTGTGGATTGACGAGCGATGCTCATGTGCTAACCCGTGTGTCGGGAAACTGAGTTGAAATATCAATTTCACTTGTCACATGATGGGACGCTGTGTGCGTAGGTATTTGATTAGTGGCGAGAGGCACGAGTCAAGCAATTTATTGCAGGTAGATAGCAATCGCTCACGCGATCAGGGGACGGTCTACCAGAGCTGAATATAGACACTTTAATTTATTGTTTGTAAATAAATCTGTTTTAAAATAGATGAGCTCTTGCCTGTCATTTGAAGTGAGATTTTCACGGCTTCACAATAGGTTTAGTTAAGGAATTAATGCTTAATTCCATACTATAATTCCATTCCATGTGGCCTCGTAAGTGTAGTGAAAATGAAATCCCGGGATGATGTGCTGTCTCTTCGCTGTTGGAACGCGAGATCCGGTTCCGACTTACAAGTCGTCTTGCAGAACTTTGCAGAGACAGACTTGCGGGATAATATAGTTTCTTTGTAAAACAATAGCACAACTTAAAATTTTTAGAGCTCTAATACATTTCATTTACATAAATTTTGAATTACAAATGAATTTTAAAATTATTAGTATTACTGTTTTCACATTTATGGCACGACATTAAAACCCTTTGTGCGGTTTACGCCAACTTCGTCGCCGGTGGGTGTATTAACAGTTAAAAGTTCCCGCCTTGAGGTAAGGGCACGCTGATGCTACGGTTGATCCCCGCGAGTCTTCATCGTTCGCCGCTCGCGTCGTTTAAGCTCCGCCACCTGGGGGCCAGCCGAGGCGGGCAGGCGCTGCGGAGGGGCGGCGTAATTATTATGCCCTTCTGGGAAGTGCTATCGCCTCGGATATAGACGGAAGCCGTTTTCATTCTGTACGGCGCACCCCCTCCACTTCACTGCAGTCGACTCACATCCGTCCTGCATCACCATCACCACATCCATAGCTGCCGCCCCTTCCCACCGCCCCGTCACCTCCTTGCCTCCTCCTCAACGCTTACGATTTTGACACGGTCACCGCCTCAACTTTCTAAGCGAAGTTTTTTTTAAATTTTTATTTATTTATTGTTTTAAATCCGAGATGTTTTTAAAACTAGTTTAGAAACATTCAACAACAATGTCTGCGTGAGGGATTTAACGCGAAAACTACAGCAACCAGGTCCAGTGTAGGAATCGTATTCATTTTGCATGGCGCACCCTCTCCACCTCACTGCGGTCGACTCACATCCGTCCTGCATCACCATCACCACATCCATAGCTGCCGCCCCTTCCCACCGTCCCGTCACCTCCTTGCCTCCTCCTCAACGCTTACGATTTTGACACGGTCACCGCCTCAACTTCCTAAGCGAAGTTTTTTATTTTTATTTCTATTTATTCATTGTTTTAAATCAGAGATGTTTTTAAAACTAGTTCAGAAACATCTAACAACAATGTCCGCGATAGGGATTTAACTTGATAGTGGTCATCCATTTACATTTTCATTTACGGGGTTAACAGACCAAACGAAGTCACAAAATGACCAGAACACTATCTAAAAATACATTATCTGACTAGATATTTGAAAAACAAAAAAAGGACATTTACTACAAAAACTTGCATTTTTCAAAATCACCGGCTTCATTACACAGTTATTACAAACAACGATGTTTTACTGGAGAAAAAAAAATCGATATTGATGTCACCTCCTAACCGCATCGATCCCTCGACGCTTTCTCCATTTCCACGTCCTCCGAGACCGCCTCCCCCATTGGACCACATTACACCGCACCGCTCGCCCGCGACCTTTACGAGGGCGTCGGCGTCGCAGCTGTAGCAGCAGCGCCGCGTTTTACGGCGTCGCCAACCAGGGGCGACCAGGAGGAGCGGGGGAAGCCGGGGAACTTGCCCCAGGCCCAGTCTTAAATATGGCCCCGAAATGTTTTTCATTTAAAAGAAATTTTAAAAAATGTATTCAACTCTAACTCAAATTTAACGCTATAAGTTATTTCTGCTGCATTTAGAAATTAATTCTATTTATGATTTGGGAAAGGACGGGACTTTTGTTTGTTTGAAATGAGGAGCCACAATGGATCAATTGCCCTAGGCCCATGGTTTTCCCTGGCGCCAGCAGCTCCCCAATCGTGGCCTAGGAGACGCTTATGGCTGTTAGGCGACCTTCGACCTTGACGTCAAGGTGTGCGGGGCCAAAGCGTGCCCAAATGACACGCCCACTTCTTGGAGTGAAAGACGTTGAGGGGCCAAGTACAGAGAAGTATCTGAGCAAAACAGTGAACGTGTATTACAGTGTAAACGAATACTGATGGTTTACGGGATTTGTTGCAGTTGGGCTTTATTACCAGGCGAAACAAGCATGCGAACCCATTTCGCCTTGCAACAGTAATGATTTGCGCGTAACCTCCCCTCTTGCGCATGTCCCTAAAGGACATTAGTCCCGTAAGTGTAGTGCATGTTGCATTTCTTGCCGTCGCGGTGATCTTACCCTATTGGATGGACAGATCTGGAGCCGACCTATGCCGGATTGCTACCCAACCTTTTCCCTGCTTTTGCCCAACCAAGTATCTCTCACCAGCGGGACATGCGCACCAACCGGGACAAGCTCTAAGCAACGACTGGTCTTCTGATATATGAAGTAGTGTAGTGCATGCGTTAGTGTGTGTGTGTGTAAGCAAACAGTGATAACAGGACAAGAAAGACGGGGGGAAGGGGAAGATCGCGCGCGAATCGTGTCCCGTTTCTTAGGGTACCGCTCCGGCATTCGCCTGGTACTGAAAGGAGAAACCACAGAAAACGACCGATCAAAGCAGCCGGCCGCTAGAATTCTCCTCCAGTCCGCAACCGAATGTAGCTAGTTTCGAAAAATCGAGCCACCGTCGGTACTCGACCCATAGGACCTCCCGGCCAGAGACGGTGATGCCCTGAGCCACCAAAGACGCCAGCGACTGGACGCGCGGGCGTACGCACACCTGCGCGCGCGCTTTACGCACTCGCGTCCGGGGAAAGTATCGGAAAGCCGTTGGAGAACAGGAGACGAGCGTGTTCCCTGGATATTGCGGCGGGGCTTATGCGCGCGATGATGTGCTCAAACGCGGCAACCAGGCCCGGCCCGGCCCGGCCCGGCTCCGCGCCTCTCAGCGGGGCGTCGGCGCGACAAGAAGTGCAGCGCTCGCCGTTACTCATTGTTTATAGAGCCATTGTCTTCCGCAAACAGCCGACGGGTACATGTTCCTCATTATCTTTCGCGTGTACGGTGTATTTGTGCCAACACTCGCCTGACCTTTTCTTTTTTTTAAACCCGTACTCATGTGTAGAGGTACCCCCATAAATTATTCCCGTACTTTAAATTTATCGTCGAGCTACCTTTCATCCATCCAAAATGAGACGCCCGGTTCATTCTTGTACTATAGCGTACATAAAATGGCAGTATATAGGTGAAAGGCGTGTTGACAATATTTCTTGTATGGTCTCATGAACTTCTATATTGCATAATAAACCCCAAATGCCCCCAAACCACCTAGCAATAATTTAGCATTGTCGAAATGACTTTAATAATACACACCTTAAGCACGGGCACTATTCCTATGTCTTTTCACGGGACGTTTTCTAGACATATGCAATGCCGAATTTGGAGAATCAGCCAATGGATTATATAAAATAGCATTAAAGATCATCAAAATAAAATTTTATATATAATTGTCGGTGCAACCCGGTCGGGGCAACCCAACCTTTAAACAAATTTTATTATTAAAATATTATTTACTTTTACCAAGTGATATGTCACGTTCCAAATATTTCATAGAAAGAACCTTCCCACCTTAGAGATGCTGAAGGAACTTCCTATAATTTGTGCGATCACTTTTGCCTGGCTACAGTGAACACTTGTGTGGTGCAAGTGATTTTCTCCAAACAACAGACAGATTTGGCACTGAAGAATACAGCAGATACGCAATGAAGATAAACTTCTTAACTTGTACTCTCATTTCGATACAACGTCCTTCCGCAGATTGTGCACCTTTTCACCTTTTTTCGTACGTTTGCTTAACCTTCTGTGCCCGAGTTTCAGCTATCTCGATCGCTCATTAGCCTCGTCGATCTTTACGAACCTCACCTCTCCCCCCCCCCTGATTTGTGTAGGGCGGTGGGAAGAGACCTACTTCTCGCCTTGACGTTTGTGCGCAGGTGCCATATTTTTTGAACGCCTGCGTATCCTCCAGTTCCGGAGGTTTAGCTATCTCGGCAGCCCATCTGCTTCATATATTGGTATCTTTTGGACCTCTTCTCGCCTCCCCGCTCTCCTTTGCAAGGCTGGCGGGAGGTGGCGTCTTATGATACGCGATCGATGGCATCTCGCTACACAATAGAGCAGATTGTGTTTGTATGTAATGATTCCACAAAAAGTCAACAGTAGATATATTCAGTTTTGAAAACTGCCACACATTCTCAACAGAGACCAAGCATTCCAACGTGGGTTCTTTCTTTACCACTGCTTTGATTCCTACTTCTTACCTTGACGTTTGGGCCAAGGTACTATCATTTTTGAACGCCTGCATAATCTCCACTTCCAGTTCCCGAAGTTCAGCTATCTCGCCAGCCTATCTGCCTCGTTTATCTTTAATGACCCTCCCCATTCTCCTTAGCGAGGCCAGGGGAAGGGCCCTCCTACGATACGCGATCGCCGGCGCCTCGCAACATTTTTCCCGCACAGATTCTTTGTGCCGTGTTTGTATGTAATGACTCCACAAAAAGTCATTAATAGATACACTCCGTTTTGAAAACTCCCACAAATTTTCAACAGAGACCATGCATTCCTACTTTGATACTTTCTTTACCCTTCTCAAGTCTACTTGGATTCCTACGTACTTCTTACCATGGCGTTTGGAACAAGGTACCATCGTTTCTGAACGCCTGCGTAACCTCCACTTCCAGTTCTCGAGTTTTAGCTATCTCGGCAGCCCATCTACGTCGTATATCTTCAATCTCTCTCGCCTCTCCACTCTCCTTTGCACTGCTGGAAGCGGGGGCGGGAGGGAGTCCTCCTATGATACGCGGTCGGTGGCGTCTCGCTATATATTCGCGCAGAATGAGTTTGTGCCGTGTTTGTAAAGATTCCACCAAACGTCAACAGTCGATACATTTAGTTTCGAAAACTCCCACAAATTTACAAAATAGACTAGGATACTTTCTTTAACACTTATATCTATTTCCATTCTTCCTTTTTCCGTTGACATTTGTGCCAAGGTACCATCGTTTTTGAACGCCTGAGTAACTTCCACTTCCAGTTCTCGAGGTTTAGCTATCTCGGCAGCCCATCAGCGTCGTATATGTTTAATGGCCCTCACCTCGCCTCCCCCCACTCTCCTTTGGACTACCGTGGCCGGGAGGGGGGAGGGGAGGGGAGGGGCTCTCCTATGATACGCGATCGGTGGCGCCTCGCTACATTAGGCGCGCACAGAGCCGGCGGGGGCGGCGAGCACAGAGGGCGCGGGCGGAGTAGTAGTATATGTATCGCGCGGGCGGCGCGCGGGCGGCGGGGGGGCGGCGGAGCTCAAAGGCCGTGTCAATGACCCGGCGGCGGGCGGTGCGCGGCGCGACGCGTCCGTCATGTACGGGTGGTGGCGCGGCGGGGGAGGGCAGGCAGAACAGAGGGCTTGAATATTGGCAACGGCGCGGCTCGGCGGGTGGGGTGGGTGGGTGTGGAGTGGGGTGCAGGGAGGAACGCTGTGGCGATGGGGGCGACACGCACGGCAGGGCGAAGGAGCGTAGTGGGGCGAGGAGATCGCAGAGTAGGGCGGAAGCAGGGTAAGATGCGAGCGCAATGCTCTAAGAGGGACGCTGTGCGGCGAGGCGGAGGTAGGCAGTGGGAAGTGAGCCTTCACATTACTGTAGGAGATTCACAAGGACCGCCAACATAACTGCACTTACGTCCACACACTCATTTCGTCGATGATTTCGTTTCAGTTTGCTCATTGGTAAATGGCATCATCACTACCTCTTTTAATACCCTCATCCTATCATGAAGTTTATTTGTTTCTCGACCTGTAAACTAATTTCCTACTTACAGAAACTAATCTGCGTTCTTTTAGAAGTAGAGAGGTTTCGGTACGCAATTGGTAACGGGAAGTCTCCAGTGGCGACGAAGGTGGGTGGAGGTGGTCCCCACTGGGAGGGTGATGGTGGTGGTGAGACTGGTGGCGGTTACGGATTATGGTGGACTGTGTGCGTACGTAGTATTGGTGTTAGAGGTGTCGTCATAGCACACGAACAGAAGTAGCGTAGAAGTGTCGGTAATCGAAAGAGTAGTATGATGTTCGAGATGAACATAACGAAGATAGGGGAAAGTAGAATATGGAACAGTCATATGATAGTGATTTCATTCTGGTCAGCGAATGCTCAGGATATAGCTAGGGCAATCAACAAAAACACGCATGCAAGAGGTAACGATCTATGCCGAGCAGGCATGGTGATACTAACTAAAGGGGCAGCGACGTGAGGAAGCATAATGACGCTGCAGCTTGGTGGTTCGAGACACGCCGCCAATGGCCTCTGAGACAATGTTTGCTGGGGCGGCGAAGCCCGAGTGAAAAGGAAGACGAAACAGGGGTGGGAGACGTGTCGGTCGCCTAGATGCCGGGGTCGACGGAGGAAGCCAGCAACTGAGAAATATATATATATTATATATATCATATTTATATATATACTAATAGTATGAGAGATGAAGAGAGAGAGGAGAGAGAGAGAAGCCGACGCTAAGAGGGGGAGAAGAGAGAAGAGGAGAGACCGAGAGAGAGAAAGAGAGAGACCGAGAGCTCGAGAGAGAAGAGAGAGAGTCAGAGAAAGACAGGGAGAGTGAAAGAGGGGCTGGATTACCTGGAGAGGCCGTGCTGAGACGATGACGGTGTTTGCCAAAGGCCAGGACGGTGCGTGAGCTAATGGAGACGGTCAATAGAGATGTCGTAGGCGCGGAAGTGGGGGAGATATTGGTATGTGGGCGGCAGCTACGGGCGGATTAGCTGCCAGAACGTCAGAACTTGTAGGAGCAGGGGCATCATGAGGAAGAGGTGGCGCCGGTGACAGTATTGCACTGTCTTGATGAGCCGTACTGTGACGTAGTATCATGAAATGGCAAGGCCAGTAGCAGAATTACGTCTCAGAATGTAAGTTAACGTCTTACGTGTTATGTGAATGAGTCCGCTTGTGGACCTAGTCCTAACTTTTATGTTAACGCCATGCTTATGTTTATGTTTGCATTGTGAATGGGCCTTTAGCTGGCTGGGCCAGGAGTGCGCAGCCGGGAGAGGCGGCGGCGGCGAACCAAAGCGGGGCTTGATCTCCCACGAAAGGGACACGCCCCCTTGCCCTCGATCTGCAGACGCATCCTGTTCATGATTCACTAGCGCACCCATCTCCTCCGTGGCGGGGGACACCACGACTCCCACTTCCAGCGCGAAGATGGAGAGATAGCGATCAGCCAGGCTCTGTTCGCAGGACACACGCAATCCCTTCGAATAGCCTCCGCAAGCGGAATACTGGCAAGTTTTCAAAAAGGACGACATACGCTTTACGCATGGAATGCGTTATCC